AGTCCCCGGAGATTTCGGTGGACACGGTCATTGAGGCACCTTCTCGGCACCTGACGGCCAGACAGGAGCTCTTCCCGCCGGTCGCGGCCTTGACGACTGTGACAGCCAGACAGGAGACCCAGTCGTTACTTCAGACCCCAGAGAGGGGCAGGCAGACCATGAGGCTGGCCAGTGCCATTCGGGCCTCGGCCTCAAAGGCCCCTCCACCGCCGCCGCTGCAGCTGCAGAGTCGGGATGCCTCTTCATCCCCACCACCCCATCCCATGCCTCCTGATGACGAGGAGGAAGAGGGCGAGCTGCTGGGATCGGTGCATTCGGGATCGGTGCTGTCTCTTGGAATCGAGAAGTCACCCACCCACGATGCCTATGAGGCGGATCCCCCATCCCCGACTGACAACGTCCGAGGCTTTGCGGACCAAATGGCTCGGATGGCTGAGACTCTGGGCCTGGAGGTCAAACAGACTTCCACGGCAGTGACTGATCCCGTGTTTAAGAGGGTACAGAAGGAGTCCCCACCAGCTCCTCTACTACCCTTCCTTCCCTACCTACTTGAGGTTATCCAGGGCTCCTGGAAGACTCCCTCTTCTATCCCACCGACATCAAAGAAAATCGAGTCCTGGTACAGGACTGATGATGAGGGCCTGGAGTGGCTGAAACACCATCCCGACCCTAATTCGGTGGTCGTGAAGGCGGCTCAGGGGTTCGGAAGGCAATCCTCCACGCCGTCAGACCGCGAGGGCAAGAGGTTCGACGCAGTGGGCAGGAAGCTCTACTCCGGTGCCCTTCTGCTGGCCCGTATGGCGAACTATGGAGCTTGCATGGGGGCTTACCAGCAGATCCTGTGGGAGAAGGCGGAACCTTTCTTCCAAAGAATGTCGGCTGAAGACCGGGCTGCCATGACCACCCTGGCTCAAGAGGCCCACTCTCTGGCGCATCACCAGATGCAGATGGCCAAGCACACCGGGGACACGGCCGGCAAGATGATTGCTCACGCAGTGGCAATCAGAAGGCATGCCTGGTTAAGGTCTTCAGGCCTTTCCACATCATCGAGACAGGTGATAGAGGATCTCCCGTTCGATGCCCTAGGACTTTTCAATGCGGGCACGGACGATAAGCTAAAGTCCAACCACGAGTTCAAGACTCTGGCCTCCAAGTGCGGGATCGAGAACCAGGGTCAGGCGCAGCGTACCAGGTGGTACCAATTCAAACGCAGGCATACGGTCCCGTACCGTACCATCCAATACCGGCATCCAACCCGTCCTTCACAGTCTCCTTTGCAGACCCAGCCTCAACAACCACAACAACAGAGGCGTCAGCACCAGCAGCAGCGTTCGCGCTCCCGGCAGGCTTCTGGAGGCAACCAGGCCAGGCGTCGCGTTTGACGCGCTGGCGGACGATACCGTTTGTTTTTCCGTTACAGATGCTGCTCCCATGTCCCTCCCAAATATACCCGCCCTCATCCTTCCATCCGGCTTGACACTCTTCGGGGATCGTCTGACAAACTTTCTCCCTGCATGGGAAAATATCACCTCAGATGCATGGGTTTTGAAGGTTGTCGACAAAGGCTATGCATTGGAGTTCGAAGAGCTCCCACCAACGGGGCAAGTTGTCGAGACCGAACCATCCTCGGCAATCCTGGCAGAGATCAATACTCTGCTGCTAAAGGGAGCAATCTCCCCTCTCCCGGACTCCCAAAACCATCGAGCCTTCTTCTCCAGGTACTTTACTGTCCCGAAGCCGGACGGCTCCCTTCGCCCCATCCTCGACCTCAGAGACTTAAACTCCTTCATCGAGCATCGAAGGTTTCGGATGGTGACGGTATCGTCCATCCTCCCCTTCCTCCAATACGGGGATTTCTTCGCGTCCGTCGATCTCCGAGACGCTTATTTTCACCTGGCGATCAGAAGACATCACCGACGTTTCCTGGCCTTCAGAGTAGCGGGACAATCCTACAATTTCAACGTGCTTCCCTTCGGTCTCGTGACGGCACCGAGAACCTTCACAAAATGCATGTCGGTGGTCGCAGCAGCCCTCAGAAGGGAAAAAATCC